GACCTTTGGAAAAGTTCTTAAAGACAAAACTCAGTCTTCCCTGATTGCACGGTGGTTTTATTCCTGGAAAACTCAATCCACAGCAGAATGTCAGTATTCCAAAGAGGTATGGTTACAACCTGGGCAACATAGAAAAACCCTGACTCTACAAAAACACAAACAAATTAGTAGGGCATGGTGGTGTGCTACTCAGGAGGCTGAGGTGGAAGGATCTCTTGAGCTGGGGAGGTTGAGGCTGCAGTGAGCCATGATAGTGCCACTGTACTCCAACCTGAGCGACAGAGTGAGAGACCCTGTCTCAGAAACAAACAAACAAACGGTGTGGGTAGTGGGGTGAAACAGAACCATCTTCCAGGTCTGAGAATTGCAAACATTCCTCATGCATGTAACTGCCCAGAAAGACAGAGGGAAATTGAGAGATGTCTTCGGGTTGGAAATTCCCTGTTGTATCTATCAGAACATCCTACACCTTCCAGGGCATTTATCGTCCCTGATCTGCCATCTATCAAATGCCAGAAGCCCCAATCTTGTGACAACCAGAAATGACAGTGGCCTCATAAATTTCAAAAAATGTCCCCTAGGGGGCAGTGACGCTGCTGTTTGGACAATTGTCTGGCACGCTGTCCCTGTCCGTGGCGGCTGTTTAACTGTCTTTAAGATTGTTTTACATCATGATATAGAGATCTGCAGCCCTCACCCCAACCCCACCCGGATAGGTCAAGGAATGCTGCCCTTTCGAGGCTGTGTGGATTTGTCACATGGAGATACTGTCACGCACTTAATGGTTCCCTTTCAAGGGTTGTTTTGCTGTTACAACCAAGGCTGCCATCAAGGCTGAGCTGGTGCCATCAGTTAGCACTTGTACGAGCCGATGACTAGAGAAACGCTTAGGTGTGGGCTGGCTGGGTCAAGGGTTTGGGCATTTAGAATTTTCATAGCTGTGGCTAAAACTACCTTCCATATTAATCCATGCTCCCCCAGCAGAGCAGAGCTCTGGGACCCAGGCTGGGGAACATTCTGGAAAGTCTTAGCCAGGACCCTCTCCCTTTAGGGGCCCACCTCCTCAGACCACACCCAGGGCCCCTCCTAATAAAGCCTTGGGTGTCCAGACTCTCCCAGCCCATCTTCTCAGGCCACAGAGGCAGGGGGAGACAGAGAGGACTTTCCCAAATTGGGCTGATCTTGGCTATTTTTTAAATATATATATGCACACACACATATGTACATATATATTCATATATACCTATATACATGCACACACATACACACACAAGTGCACATATATATATCTTCTTTTTTTTTTTAAAGACAGGGTTTCACGATGTTGGTCAGGCTGGTCTTGAACTCCCGACCTCAGGTGATCCGCCCGCCTCGGCCTCCCAAAGTGCTGAGATTACAGGCATGAGCCACCACGCCCGGCCCTCTTCTTTTTTTCTTTTTTTTGAGACAGAGTCTCGATCTGTCACCCAGGCTGGATTGCAGTGGTGCTGTGATCTCAGCTCACTGCAACCGCCACCTCCCAGGTTCAAGTGATTCTCCTGCCTCAGCTTCCTGAGTAGCTGGGATTACAGGCACCCGCAACCATGCCTAATTTTGTATTTTTAGTAGAGACAGATTTAACTATTGTTATCACACTCCAGAAATTTTAACACTGACAAAGTAGTATTGGCCAGGCACTGTGGCTTACAGCTGTAATTCCAGAACTTTGGGAGGCCGAGGTGGGCAGATCATCCGCGGTTAGTAGATTGAGACCAGTCTGGCCAATATGGTGAAACCCCGTCTCTATTGAAAATATAAAAATTAGTCGGGCATGGTGGCAGGCACTTGTAATCCCAGCTTCTAGGGAGGCTGAGGCAGGAGAATTGCTTGAACCTGGGAGGCAGAGGTTGCAGTGAGCCGAGATTATACCATTGCACTCCAGCCTGGGCAACAAGAGCGAAACTCCATCTCAAAAACAAAACAATACAGCAACAGTAGTAGTTGTCATAGAATGCTTGCCACGTGTCAGGGCTCTAAGTACTTCACAGCTATTAATGCATTAAATCCTCACATAATCCCTAGAGGAAGGTGGGTTATCATCACCGTTAGTTCGTTTTGTAAATGGGGAGACTAAGGCTTAAAGGTCTTAAGACATTTGCTAGTAAGAAGCAGGCGAGATGGAAAGCCAGGTCAGGGCGCTGCTGGGATAGGGCATCTGGGCTGGACAGGGTGGGAGGAAGCCCATCGGGCTCAGGAACGCGGGCAGTCTAATGCTGACTCTTTCTTTGAGTGACCTTGGGGCGATTTGACCTCTGGGACCTCTCTTTTCCCCTCTGTAAAACGGGAGACTGTGTGTGGGGAAGGTCTGGGTTCTACTCTACACAAGGAAAGTCACTACACACAAGGGCCCTCAGTTTCCTCCTCTGTTCAGTAAACCAAAACTTCGAAGTTGTAAAGAGGCTTGGTGGAGAGTAGGTTCTCACCTTGACCTATTTATTTACTTATTTGTTATTTTTTGAGACGGAGTCTCCCTCTGTCATCCAGGCTTGGAGTGCAGTGGTGCGTTCTCGGCTCACTGCATTCTAGACCTCTCCGGCTCAAGCGATTCTCCAGCCTCAGTCTCCCGAGTAACTGGGATTACAAGCACACACCACCACGCCTGGCTAATTTTTGTATTTTTAGTAGAGATGGGGTTTCGCCATGTTGATCAAGCTGGTCTCGAACTCCTGACCTCAGGTGATCCGCCCACTTCGGCCTCACAAAGTGCTGGAATTACATGGGGTGAGCCACGGGGCCCGGCCTTAACCTATAGTTTATAAAATTATGTCGTGTCACTTCTGAACTCAGTTTGAGGTAGGGAATGGAAAGGACGCCTGCTCTCCGGCCCTTTTGCCCAGCGTCCGCTTTACAGGCCACAGATTGCACTGTCCCCGCCCCCAAGCTGGGGTTTCCGAGCTGTGGGACAGACCAAAGGCATCGTCTCAGGGAAAGCTGATAGTTGGCCCCTCGGCGTCCACGTGCTAACCCGGCCAGCGCCGGCTGACTGGGCAGCTCCAGCGCCGGACGCTACCAGTTGGGGCCTGAGGGGCGGGGAAGGCGGTGACGTCGAAGCCGTGGCCTACCCTCCTTAAAGGCGCAGGCTAGGACCCCATGCTGGTTTCTGTTAGGACAAGGAAGCACGGTGGCGCAAAAGTTCTAAACACGAGGTGTGTGGTAGGGCCTGGGGTACGGGGCTGGCCTGGAGAAAATGCCTCCCTAACAAGCGGGAACGGAGACGGCAGCGCTGGATTTAAGCCCGTCTGTCTCACGGGGAGGCAGTGTGGGGCCGTGGGAAAAGCACCCGCTGGTTCGAATCCCGGGCTCCTCATGTCGATCCTCAGTTTCACCTTCTGTAATCTTTCTTCCTTTCTTTTTTTCTTCCTTTTTTTTTTTTTTTTGAGACGGAGTTTCGCTCGTGTTGCCCAGGCTGAAGTGCAGTGGCGCGATCTCGGCTTACCGCAACCTCTGCCTCCCGGGTTCAAGCGATTCTCCTATCCTCCCTCAGCCTCCCGAGTAGCTGGGACTAACAGGCATGCGCCACCACGCCCGGCTAATTTTATATTTTTAGTAGAGACGGGGTTTCACCATGTTGGCCAGGCTAGTCTGGAACTCCTGACCTCAGGTGATCCGCCCGCCTCTGCCTCCTAAAGCTCTAAGATTACAGGCGTGAGCCACTGCGCCCAGCCTGGGGTAATCTATTTAAGCAATAACCTACTGCAAAGAGTTCTGAGGCTCAGAAGAAATCACAACGCGAGAGCAACCAACACCAAAACGTCGGTGCTCTCTCTGTGCTCTTCCTCCCTGCGCAGGAGTCTTCCCGGACCGAGGCGGGTTGGGATTTGCCCAAGTTCACGAGGAGGTGGGACCCGGCTCCCCACGGCCCGCTCGGCTCCCCGCACCTGCTCTCGTCCCAGCCTGCCCGGCCCGGGCTGTACCTCGGCCAACCCAGGGGCCCACACGCGCGCGGGGCCCCGTGGTTTACAACGCGGTTTTGCAGTTGCAGGCCTGTTCCGTAACCTGCAAAATGGGGGCGATGCGAAGGCGGGCGGGAGAAGTCGCCGCGAAGTTGTAAAGTCTTGGCGGGGAGCCCGGCAAGTAACTTCGTCGTTACTGTGCGTTCTCCCTGCGATCTCGAAGAATTCACCCTCACTGCCGCCGCCACGCACCTGAGGACCCCAGGGAAGGGGCTAGTGCGTTTCGGTCGCCGTCCGGAAGGCGCTGGGGCCCCCAGTGCCGCGCGCGGCCGGGGCGGGGCTGGTGAAAATGCCTGGAATCCCAGCACTTTCCGAGGCCGAGGTGGACGGATCGCTGGATCCCAGGAGTTCCAGACCAGCCTGGGCAACATAGGGAGACAAAAATAAAACTAACAAATCAGCCGGGCATGGCGGTGGGCCTGTGGTCCCAGCTACTCGGGAGGCTGAGGCGGGAGGATCGCTTGAGGCGGGAGGATCGCTTGAGCCCGGGAGGTCGAGGCTGCAGTGAGCCTAGATCGCGCCACTGCACTCCAGCCTGGGCGACAGAGCAAGGCTGAAAAGATGCTGTCTTAAAAAAGATGCTGTAAGTGCCTGCTGCTGCCAGGTTAAGCGCGACGTGGAGACCGCGACCTTGGCCCGCAGGCCTCAGCGCTGGATAGGCATGGAACCTGCCCGCACGGCCCCGGCAAGGGGGCGGGACTGCCGCAGCTCCCGGCGGAGGCGCGAATGGGAGGAGCCGGAGACACTCCGGACGTGCGGCTGGTCGGCCCGCGGGGGGCGGGGCCTCGCGGCTCGGTGTGGGGGCGGGGCCCACCCCGCTGCTGTCCGCGTCTGCCTCGGTGCGGGCGGGCGAGCGCGCGCGGACCCCGCACAGGCGGCGGAGCCGGTATGGGCCCGCCCGGCCCTGGGTGCCGCGCCGCACGAGCACCAGCCTAGAACCAGGTAGGCGGCGCTGGGCCGGGGCTGGGGGCGGAGACGGAAGCGAGGGTCTCCGGGCGGCCTTGCGAGCCAGGGCGGGTCCTGGGGGCTGTCGGGCCGAGGTGATTCTCCTCACGCGGCGGCTCTGCGCGGTCCGGGGCCGGGAGTGTAGCCGAGGGTCGGGGGGAGATCCTGGCTCCCTGACCCTACTTCCCGTTCTGCCGGCTGCGCCCGGGCCTGCATTTTGTGGCGGGAGGCCGGGGACTGCTCTTTTCCCGGCCCCGGGCCTGGCCCGTCCGGCAGTGCGGGGAGGGCCGAGCACCCCAGCCCCCAGTCCCGAGGAGGCGACGGGCCCTTCGTGGCCATCAGATCTGTTTACACGTCACTCTCGGTGCCCGGCCGTCCCTCCACGCCCAGTGACCGGCTCGCAGGTGCCCGCCCAGGGCCTTTGTGCTGGAGTGGGGCGGCCCGGGTACTTTTAATTTTCTGGCCACTAGGGCCCAACCCGCCCCTGCACTTAGAAGCTGCGCAGTGAACACGTGCGAGGCGGACCAGTGAACTGCCCTGGCCCCCACTGCCTTCGAGCGATATGTCTGAAACCCCAGCTTCCTTCGGAACCACTCCCGAGTGACCTTGGGCAGGCCACCTCCTCTCCCTGAGCCTTAGTTTTTCCCTGCTGATGGGGGCAGACAGTCTCTGCTTTAGAGGTCATTGCCAGGGTTGTTGAGAAGGTGCATGTTCTTTTTTTTTTTTTTTTTTTTTTTTTAGTGGGGGTTTTTTTTTTTTTTTTTTTTTTTTTTTTTTTGAGACGGAGTTTCACTGTTGTTACCCAGGCTGGAGTGCAATGGCGCGATCTCGGCTCACTGCAACCTCCGCCTCCTGGGTTCAGGCAATTCTCCTGCCCCAGCCTCCTGAGTCGCTGGGATTACAGGCACGCGCCACCATGCCCAGCTAATTTTTTGTAGTTTTTGTAGAGACGGGGTTTCACCATGTTGACCAGGATGGTCTCGATCTCTTGACCTCGTGATCCACCCGCCTCGGCCTCCCACAGTGCTGGGATTACAGGCTTGAGCCACCGCGCCCGGCCTGTTGAGAAGGTGCATGTTCTGAGGGCGGTGGGTGAAAGTCGGGTTTAAGTCTCATAGTGGGCCGGGCGCAGTGGCATGCGCCTGTAATCCCAGCACTTTCGGAGGCCTAGGCAGGCGGATCACGAGGCCAAGAGATTGAGACCATCCTGGCCAACATGGTGAAATTCCATCTTTACTAAAAATACAAAAATTAGCTGGGCATGGTGGCGCGCTTGCAGTCCCAGCTACTCAGGAGGCTGAGGCAGGAGAATCGCTTGAATCCACGAGGCTGAAGTTGCAGTGAGCCGACATTGGGCCACTGCACTCCAGCCTGGGACAGAGCGAGGCTCCGTCTCAAAAAAAAAGAAAGTCTCACGGTGGCCCCGTCCCCTTTCCAGGGCGTCCCTGGAGTAATGCTCCATTTGACTAAGGTTTGGTTTTCAGGACTGAAGCTTCAAAATGACTGACCAGGATCCTGGGGGCATCAGCCCCCTCCAGCAAATGGTGGCCTCAGGCGCTGGGGCGGTGGTCACCTCCCTCTTCAGTAAGATCTGGGGAGGTGGGGTGTGGGCAGGTGTGGATGGCGCAGATCCGAGATTGGAGGCAGTGTGGTCTTGGGGGTGGGGTCCTGAAAGGAGCCTTCAGACCCACTTCCTCCCTCAGTGACACCCCTGGATGTGGTGAAGGTTCGCCTGCAGTCTCAGCGGCCTTCCGTGGCCAGCGGTGAGTACCTGAACCCAGAGCTAGTGAGGGCTGGTGCCTGGGCAAAAGAAAGATCTCCCAGAGGCCAGGCGAGGTGCCTCACGCCTGTAATCCTAGCACTCTGTCTGGGAGGCTGAGGCAGGCAGATCACCAGAGGTCAGGAGTTCAAGACCAGTCTGGCCAACATGGTGAAACCCCGTCACTACTAAAACTACAAAAATTAGCTGGGCATAGTGGCACATACCTGTAGTCCCAGCTACTCAGGAGGCTGAGGCAGGAAAATCGCTTGGACCGGGAGGTGGAGATTGCGGTGAGCTGAGATTGTGCCACTGTGCTCCAGCCTGGGCGACAGAGCAAGATTCTATTTCAAAAAAATAAATAAATTAGATCTCCCAGAGATGGGGCCCCTGGGATAGGTGGGGGCTCTCCTGACTTGAGGGGCTGCCTTGTATTTTAGAGCTGACGCCTTCCTCCAGACTGTGGAGCCTCTCCTATACCAAATGTGAGTGCCCCAAGCCACAGGGAGCCTGGGAGGGTGCAAGGGAGAGAGAGTTCCTGTCCCTGTCCCCAGGGCACCAGTGGGCTCCAGAGCCATGGACTAACACACACCCCCAGGTCACGCCAGCCAGTCCTGTGACCTGTACCAGAACATCCACATCGGGATCTGGTGTCTACTGCCTTCCAGGGATGCGGGCCCACTGCCTCCCTGCAAGGTTCTAGGGTCCTGTCGTCGTAATGCCCCCTTGCCTTTCCCCAGTGCCCTCCTCTCTCCATTCCACAGGGAAGTGCCTCCTGTACTGCAATGGTGTTCTGGAGCCCCTGTACCTGTGCCCAAATGGTGCCCGCTGTGCCACCTGGTTTCAAGACCCTACCCGCTTCACTGGCACCATGGTGAGAAGCAGCTGGGTCCCTGAGGAGTTGAGCCTGGCTGGGCAGCAGACCCAGGGGAGAAGGGGTAGGGCAAGGCATGCAGAGGTAGCCCATCAGTCAGGAAGGGCTTCTGGAGAAGGCAGTACCTGCGTGAGGTTTTTTTTTTCTTTTTAGACAGAGGCTCGCTCTGTCAGCCAGGCTGGAGTGCGGTGGCGTGATCTCGGCTCACTGTAACCTCCGCCTCCCAGGTTCAAGTGATTCTCCTGCGTTAGCCTCCCAAGTAGCTGGGATTACAGGCGTGCACCACCACCCGCTGCTAATTTTTGTATTTTAGTAGAGACAGGGTTTTGCCATGTTGGCCAGGCTGGTCTCCAACTCCTGGCCTCAAGTGATCCATCCGCCGTGGCCTCCCAAAGTGCTGGCTGGGATTACTGGTGTGAGCCACCATCACTGGGCTCCATGAGGTTTTTGAAGGGTGACCACGTGTCCACCTGGACCCAACTGGGATACTGCATGTGTGCAGGCAAGGAGGCCTGAGGGCTGTGGACAGAGGCTGAGGGCATCAGGCAGAGGCCCAGCCCAGGCCAGCCCCATCGCAGACACCTCACTTGTGTCCCTTCTCTTCCCCTGGGCTGGTGCCTGCTTGGCCAGGACGCCTTCGTGAAGATCGTGAGGCACGAGGGCACCCGGACCCTCTGGAGCGGCCTCCCCGCCACCCTGTGAGTAGCCGGGTCCCACACCGCTCTCTTCTGGTAGCTCCTCATCCCTTGCTCCCTGCTAAATGGCTGGGTAGGGCAGGCGATGCTTCAAAAGTTTGGGTCCCCTTGGGAGTCCCTGCTAACCTCTCTTCATATCCCCAGGGTGATGACTGTGCCAGCTACTGCCATCTACTTCACTGCTTATGACCAACTCAAGGCCTTCCTGTGTGGTCGAGCCCTGACCTCTGAACTCTACGCACCCATGGTGGCTGGCGCGCTGGCCCGCTGTAAGCATACTCTTGGGCCTTTGACCTCCCTCTGTCCCCACCTCTGCCCAAGCCCAGTCAGTCCCAGCTCCCAGCCCCAACCTCTGCCAGCCTGGGGGTGGGAGGAATATTCTAGGTGACCTGACTTCTCCCCACTGTCACTCCCACGCCCCCCACAGTGGGCACCGTGACTGTGATCAGCCCTCTGGAGCTCATGCGGACAAAGCTGCAGGCTCAGCACGTGTCGTACCGGGAGCTGGGTGCCTGTGTTCGAACTGCTGTGGCTCAGGGTGGCTGGCGCTCGCTGTGGCTGGGCTGGGGTCCCACTGCCCTTCGAGATGTGCCCTTCTCAGGTAGGCACCCAGGGTGTGGCGGGTGGGTAAGGGAACCCTGGAGTGAGGCACAGAGGGTCTAAGGCCAAGTCCCAGCTTTGTGACTAGTGACCGTGAAGTCACTTAGCTTTTCTGAGCTGTGCATTTCTCATCTGTGAGTATTTGCCCAGGCTGTGAGGTGGCAATTCCTACAGAGAGCCTGCTCCCAAGCTGCATGTAGCAGACAAGACTCAGCTGGGAGGGAGTGGTGGCAGTAGAAGATGGAAGGTCTGGGCCCACCTCCTTGCCCTCCCTATCTCTAATCAATGCACCCCCCACCCCAAGCCCTATACTGGTTCAACTATGAGCTGGTGAAGAGATGGCTGAATGGGCTCAGGCCAAAGGACCAGACTTCTGTGGGCATGAGCTTTGTGGCTGGTGGCATCTCAGGGACGGTGAGTGGACTGGGCTGGAGGCGAGGCCAACAGAGGTCTCCCATGGGAGGGGGAGCCTGAGGGTTTTTGGAGCTGCCAGAAGCAGACCCTATGAGGCCTTTGTTCCTCCCAGCCGAAGGAGCCTCCTGGGAGGCAGGGCTGGGGTCCTGGGAGTGCAGCTGAGCCCTCCCCCTGCCCCCTGACCAGGTGGCTGCCGTGCTGACTCTACCCTTTGACGTGGTGAAGACCCAACGCCAGGTTGCACTGGGAGCGATGGAGGCTGTGAGAGGTGAGGACCCAGACTGGCATGGCAGGGGGCAGGCGGGGTCCTGAATGGCGTCTCACTGAGCCAGCCTCGTGTCTGCAGTGACACCCCTGCACGTGGACTCCACCTGGCTGCTGCTGCGGAGGATCCGGGCCGAGTCGGGCACCAGGGGACTCTTTGCAGGTCAGTGTGTGGTGTTGGGGTTGGAGGGGGGCAGGGGCTGCGACCCTGACCCCTCACCCCTGACCCGGGCTCCCTCCCACCACAGGCTTCCTTCCTCGGATCATCAAGGCTGCCCCCTCCTGCGCCATCATGATCAGCACCTATGAGTTCGGCAAAAGCTTCTTCCAGAGGCTCAACCAGGACCGGCTTCTGGGCGCCTGAAAGGGGCAGGGAAGCAAGGACCCCGGCTAGCAAGGACCCCGGCTCTCCACGGATGGGGAGAGGGCAGGAGGAGACCCAGCCAAGTGCCTTTTCCCCAGCACTGAGGGAGGGGACTTGTTTACCTTCCCTCCTGGTGACAAGCCCAAGGGCAGGGCTGCCCCTCTGGGTGGCCCTGGCCTTCCTCAGATGCAGCTTCTTCCTGCTGTTCCAGTCGTGGGGATCATGATTTTCCCACCCCCCCAAGTTCAAGACCAAATCCTCCCGCTGCCCCCTTCATGTTTCCCTGTGTTTGCTGTAGCTGGGCCTGTTTCCAGGAGCCAAGAAACCCTCAGCCTGGTGTAGTCTCCCTGACCCTTGTTAATTCCTAAATCTAAAAATGATGAACTTCTGCCTGGTGCCTGTGCCTCTGGGGCCTGGGGTGGCTGGTGAGGGAGGCCTGGGAGGGACCCTGGTGCTGGTTTGGCTGCCCAGGGTGGCACCCATGAAGAGGACCCCTCCAGCCTAGCGAGAGTCAGTCGGGGTGAAGACCTAGAGTGTGGGGGACCACAGGTAGACATCCTGGGGGTGAGGTCCCTTTGGGGACCTGCCATGTTAGGGTTAGAATGGGGGATGATGACACCTCTCCTTAAGGGAACCTTAAGTGACAGCAGAGGAGTGAGGGTTGCTTAACTGCCAGGCTCTGGCCTAACCGAGGGGTCTGCAGCTTTGGGCCAAAGTGCCATTGCTGAGGCCAGCACAGGGCACTGGCCCCACCAGGGTGTGCCTCTATCCTGCCCCTGGTGGGCTCTGCCTCTTCTCAGCCTGGGGTTGATTGATTTCTTAAAGGCTGTTGGGTTTTGGGGGCACTTGCATGTCTTGGGCCTGCCCTGGGCAGATCTAATATTTCAGACACAACACAGAAGCCACCTGCTCCCTGAGTGCTGGCCTGCCTGCCCCCACAGGACATGCTATGCCGCCTGACCTTGCTTGTGGGCCAGGCACTGGCTGTACTTCCTTTGGACCTCAGGACTGGGCCCTGCCCCAGCCCCAGCCCCCCACATACAAGGCTGCCCTCAGTCCTCTGGTTTTTATTTGCCTGATCCCCCGCAGAGCTCTTGCCTGGGGGCTAGGAAGGAGTGACTCCAGAGCGTACATGGACAGACAGAGAGGCTAGGGACTGGGAGATGGGAGTGTGGAAGCTGGTCAACCACCCTTGGGGCTGGGGGGTGGGGGAGATGAGTGAAGGAGTGCCAGGGTCACCGGAAGAATGGAGCAGACTTCCCCAGGGGCTTCCTGTGGCTTGGGCACCCCTGCCTCCTGGCCCAGCCGGCTTCCCTCCGCAGCCCCTGCCACCACAGGCAGGAAGCTAAGGCAAGCAGAGGGGATCTTCCCCAAGAGAGCCCTGGCTGGGCAGGCAGCGTTCTCGGGAAGGATAGCCTGGACTGGGGGGCTCTTGTTGAAGAAAGGTGGCAGGTGTCCATGGCCCCTGGCAGGTGGGGCTGGCACTGCCCACGCCGTTCCTCAGCTGGGGCTCAGTGCTGGACTGCCCTCAGGACTGTCGCTCACCAGGCACTCGTTGGATTTGAAGCTCGCCAGGGACTTGCAGCTGGGGATGGAGGCCAGGGAGCCGCAGAGGCCCAGCATGGAGGGCGTGGGGTCCTTTCCTGGGGAGAGAGGGTGGGTGAGGCCGGGGGGCCAGTCTGCATGTGTGCGAGTTGGTAGAGGGGTGGGCAGTGGAGGGGCAGCCCTCAAGTCACCCCCTAAGAAGCCTTGATCTATTCCGGAGCATTTGCCATTTTCAGGTACATCATGGTTAAGCACCTGCCTGTACCAGGGATGGTGCTGGGGACACTGTATTGTAATTGTCACTGGATGTCTCTGTCTCCCCCTGAGGGTCATCCTCTCTCTTTGTCCATTTATTAAATACGCAGTGAGCACTCGCTCTGTTCCAAGCACTGGGGATACAGAGAACGGACAAGACACGGTCCCTGCCCTCATGGAGCTCACAGTCTGGTGGGGGAGACAGACACACAGACAATCACAAACACAGTGTGATGGGGCTACATGGCCACAGCCTGCCTTGTCTCAAAGAAGATCTAGGGTCATCCAATACAGTGTGGTTGCTTATAAAAAAGAAAAGACGGGCAATCCAGGCACAGAGAAAACTAGGATGGGAAAAACCAAGGTGAAGCCAGGGATGAGGTCAACACAAAGTGCATGCGTTGAAGTCCTGGGCATTCGCTCGAAGGGAGCCACTAATTTGGCTCTGAGCTTCCTGGCAGCCAAAGAGAAGGGGGAAACAAGGGTCAGGCAAGTAGTTCACAGTGTGCATGAGATAAGAGCAAATTAGTCTGAGGAGTTCTCCAAGAGTTTATGAGCCCCCTGAGGATGTCATGACACCAAAAAGCCACTGAGCCCTCATCATACAACACTGGTGATTACCAACATCCCCATTTTACAAAGAATGGACTCATCGAGGTAAAGTGATTGACCAAACTCACATGGTCAGAGGAGGCACAGCCAGGATTTGTGCTAGGTTCTGCATGACACCCCAAAGCAAGCTCTTAATTGCTGTGCTAATCCCTCAAGAAAGGCTGAGCGAGGCTGGGTGCAGTAGCTCACACCTGTAATCCCAGCACTTTGGGAGGCCGAGGCGGGTGGATCACTTGAGGTCAGAAGTTTGAGACCAGCCTGGCCAACATGGTGAAATGCCTCTACTAAAAATATAAACATTAGCTGGGCGTGGTGGTGGGCACCTTTAATCCCAGCTACTTGGGAGGCTGAGGCAAGGGAATGCTTGAACCCAGGGGGTGGAGGTTGGAATGAACTGAGATTGTGCCACTGCATTCCAGCCTGGACAACAGTGAAATGCCATCTCAAAAAAAGAAAAGGCTGAGAGAATGAATGAGGGAATGGGCTAGGACCCGCCTCCAGGCCCCAGGGCCTTGCCTTAGCCATTCCTGGAGGAGTACTGGGTGTTGGGTTGGGGAGCTCACCGATGGGACCCCAGGGCTCTTCGTCCCGTGTGCCCTCTCCCAGGCGCTGGGAGTCCGAGCTCAGACTGGCTTCAGCTGACAGCGGCTCCGTGCTCATGAAGCTGTGTCTGCGGCAGAGCGAGAGCTGGTGTGCTGGTAGAGGAAGCCCTTCCTCCCCAGGCCGACCCGTTCTCAGGCCCTATTGCACCTGGCTGGGGCTTACCTCCGGTAGGGCTTGGAATTGCTGGCACCCTCGGTCCCATTGAGTGTTCCCAGTGAAGGCCATTGGTTGACCAGGGGTGTAGTGAGCTCCTTAGAACCCTGGGCCAGGGGTGCGTGGTCACTGGGGATCAGACCTGTCCTGGGAGGGGGAGGAGGAGTCAGGCCTGGCTGGAAGTAGGAGAAGTGAGGAAGGGAGATTCAGCAAGGGGATGAGGGAGGGGTAAGGCATGAATTCTGAGTGGCAAAAATGGGGATACAGTGTTGGGGTCAGTGGGGCAGATCCCGGGAGGAAGTGGAGGTGGTACTGGAGTGGAGGGGTGACAGGGATTCGTGCACAAATACTGGGAGTTGGAGGGAATGGTGCAGTGTTGTAGGGTCAGTTGGGGTGATGCAGGTGTCAGTGGAGAATAGTGTGGGAATCCCTGAAGGGTAAGGTTGTCTTGGGGATCATGCCACAAGATCAGGGTGATGGAAAGGCTTAGGGGAGAAGTGAGGCCGGGGGTCACAGTGGGTGATGACGATCAGTGAGCCTGTGGTGCAGGTGAGTGAAGCGCTGAACTCTGGGACGTGTGCAGTCGCGTTGAAGGTTGCAGAGCAACACTGCAGGTCCTGGTGAGTGATGTCGGGGGCCCTGCAGTAAGGGTAGATGGCCACTCTAGCTGAAGGGTAAATGAGGGTGAAGTGGGGCGCTGGCTGTTAGTGTCACTGTTTTTTTTTTTGAGACGGAGTTTCGCTCTCGTTACCCAGGCTGGAGTGCAATGGCGCCGTCTCGGCTCACCGCAGCCTCCGCCTCCTGGGTTCAGGCAATTCTCCTGCCTCAGCCTCCTGAGTAGCTGGGATTACAGGCACGCGCCACCATGCCCAGCTAATTTTTTGTATTTTTAGTAGAGACGGCGTTTCACCATGTTGACCAGGATGGTCTCGATCTCTTGACCTTGTGATCCACCCGCCTCGGCCTCCCAAAGTGCTGGGATTACAGGCGTGAGCCACCGCGCCCGGCCCTGTTACTGGATCTTATGCTGAGGGCAATGTTAGGCATTGTGGGCACCTCGGGGTGGAGCTTGCTGGATCAGTGGGTCGATGCTGGAGAGGTGGGTGCTCGTGTCGGGTGATGTTAGAGTGGATAGAGATGAAGATGGGGTTCACCCGGTGATGTGGTCGGGGCGGCCGGGATCAGGGGTCAGGGGTCAGGGCAGGCGGTGCGCTCACAGCTGCTCCTGCAGCTCCAGGATCACGCCTTCCAGCTCCCGCTTCTCGCGCTGGTTCTGCGCCGCTGCCTCCTCCAGCTGCAGCTGCAGCCGCCGGTTCTCCGCCTCCAGGTCCTTCAGCTGCGACTCGCGCAGACGCACCAGCTCTTCCAAGTAGCCCTGCGAGGCGCAGGCTCAGCTCGGGCGGCGGGGAGGACGTCCCGGCAGTGGCCCTCGTCCCCGCCCCGCCCCGGGATGCCAGGCTACCCCGCCCCGACCCGCCGGCGTCGCGCACCTTCTGCGCGTAGACGATGCGGAACTTCTGCTCCATCTTGTGCCACTTGCTGTACCAGCTGTCCTCGTCAGTGACGAGCGGCAGGTACGGGTGCTCGGGCGAGTTGTCCTCGCTCGTGCTGCTCTCGGCGCTGTGCCGCTCCTCCTCGTCGGTCAGGTAGTCGTAGCTTGGGGGAGGGAGCAGTGGGCACGGGCGGTCCCTCCCCTCCCCCCGCGCGTCCGCGCTGGCCCCCGAGGGCGGTGGGACCAGGACGTCCCCAGGTTGTCCCCGGGGGCCCATCCCCGCCCCGCCGCAGTCGTGGAGCCGCTCACCTCTGTGTGAACTTTAGGTAGGGTGTGTAATCGATAACCACGGGGGTCTTCCCGTCCAGGACTTCCCCCTTTAGACAGAAGCTGGGGTAGAGGAGTCACAGGATTGGGGGTGGGTATGAGGGGTTGGGTTGGGAGATTTGCGGGAGAAACAGCTCCCTCCACCACCGCGCCAGGCAGACCCCACCTGAAGTCGATGGCGCTGAGTCCGATCAGCATTCCCGTGAGGATGGTGGCTTCGTCCCGCAGCATGATGGCTCCAGAGTCATAGAACCGTCTGTGGGGAGGCAGAGGATGGTGCAGCAGGCGCTGGAGCCCCCTCAGGGCTGCTGTTGTTGGCTTACTGCCACCCCCTCTTGAAGGAAGGCTGATTCTCCTTCCTGATCAGCCTGCAGGCCTGGAGCCTCTCTCCCCCCTCAGCCTGGGGCTCCAACCGAGGCCCCATCACCTAGAAGGGGTGTCTCCTGAGTCAACTCCTCCCCCTGAGCTACCCTTTCCTCATCAAGTACTGGGTTACCCAGACCCTTCACATCCGGAAATGAGTCTTAATCTTAGTGCTTGGTATATAGTAGGTACCTAAAAAAACAACAACAACAACAAAAAAAACGTGTTGACTTGAGCCCTGAAATGTGTAGACTAAGGAATCAAATGCAGCAAAAACATCAGGCTGAGTGCGGCCAGTTGGGAGGGCAAGGTATGTGCCCTTCGCCATACCCAGACAGCTTCAGATGCACCTGGACACACAGGCACATTTCACCTTGTAACCCCCTGCCTCAGGCACCCAACCTCCCTTCGAACCCATGGTGCAGGAGTTGAACTCCCCACGCAGGGACTCCGTGTCTGTGGATAGCAAGTACAGAACTGCTGCCATTGTTTGGAGAGCCAGAACGGCTGTGTTGTAGGTCATGCAGCAAGCCAGCACATGCGATGCTGCATGGCTGAGGCTAATCCAGGGGCATGCCAGGGTGGAGTGTGCTGGGCAATGATGGTGGATAATGGGCACCAGATTCGACTTGCAAGTGATGGTGGTGGTGAGTAAAGTTTGCCTTGGGACTGCAGGCCAGCCTGGAAGGGGGAAATCAGCTGTACAGGCTGGTGCTGGGACTTGTAGTCCAGGAACTGAAGGGTGCTGCAGGAACTTGAGGATCAGATGTGTTTGGGCAATGCAGATGCATCCTGAGACCTGTGGTCCGAGCTGCCTGTAAAGTCTGACCTGGTGGTCCGGGTGTCCCGCAGAGCCGTGGTGATGTATTCTGACATGCGTTTCTCCATCAGTGCCACCCGGATCCATGCCCGGCCCTGGAAAGCATGTTACCTTTACTTGCTGCCCCAGAGGGACTCGTGTATCCAGCATCAGGTGTGGCCCTTCTCCCCTGGGCTGCGGACAGGGGGTGAGGACCAAGAAACAGGAAGGCCCCCTGTGTCCAGAGCAGAGAGCAGCTGCCTGCTCCAGGCCCCTCACCTTGGCCCGGGCTGTGCTGATGTTCTCCATGTTCTCGATGCTGCTCACACAGTTGTTGGGCACTTTGCTGCAGGCCAGCCGGATATAGTCCCAGAAGCCGCGCTGCCCATCTGAGCTGAACCAGCTCACTGGACCTGCTGGGGCACAGGCTGAGCCAGGGCAGGGAGGGGGCTCAGCAAGACCAGGGAGTTTGGAGAGGGACCGTGTATTGGGGAACTCCCATGCATAAGTATAAGCAGCCTCCCCCGACAAAGGTATGTGCACTCACATGCGTATATGCAGCGGGCACCCCAGCACATAGCTTGCCCACTGATGGGGATTGTAGGCCAAAGGCCTCTCCCTCTTCCCAGATCTGTACACTAGCTTCTCTGCATGGCCCAGGTGGGGGCCAGGGTCAATCAGGGGGTTCAGAGTCCATGGAGTATATCAGAGCGGGGCAGCTGGGAGCTAAAGGCTGGGAATTGGGAGGGCTGGACCATAGGGGGAGGGAACCTGGGCCCACCTTTGAAGCGGTGGCTGAGGATCTGCTCTAAAATGGCTGCAAAATTGACAAACTCCTCTGATGAGTCATCGATGGGCTCCGCTGTGTACTTCTCTAGCAGTGTTTTCACAGAGAACCTGGGTGGCGAGGTGGGGAGATGGGGTAGTGGGGCGTCAGGTGAGGAGACAGGCGATGGAGGCAGAGGAAGGGAGCACCAGCACAGCAGAGGTCAGGAAGGGCATGGATGTGGGGGTGGGCAGAGGGAGCAGGGAGACAGCTGAGGCTACAGTGACCACAGAGGTACTGGGTCATGTGGAGTGAGAGGGTGGCTGGTGGGGAGGGAGGGTGACAGGTGGGAGACTGATTGACAAAATGAGTGACAGGAGAGGTGACAGCCAGAGAAAGGAAGCTTCGGGAGCAAGGGGCGAGAGGGGCTGAAACAATAGGAGGATGAGGTGCCACAAGCTGGGGGCAGTCCCCGAGCCCCTTCCCCTGGACTGCCCTTCAGAGTCTGTGTGTTCGAGGCCAGGGTCAACTACGTGTTAGAAGCCAGTGTGTGCCCCACCCTGAGCTGTCTTCTGTGATTGCTGGAACAACCTTCAGTCCCTTTTGGGGATGGGGTCACCTGTGCCAGGGCATGTGAGTTGGCACTGTGCACGTGGAGTGTGGGCATGTGCAGGTGGCCAGGTGGGCTCCTAGCACACAGACACTCCCTTCCCCCTTTTCCTTCCCAGCTTGGCCTCCCACACACCAGCTGCCCAGAACCAGGCAGTGCAGAGCTGGGCGGGGGCGGGGCAGGGAGGTGCAGGGTGTGGGCCTGACACAGACACAGGGCAGGAGGGGGCACTGGCAGCAGAACCCTGGAAGGGGCTTGGGGGCCTGGCTTCTCAGGAAGGAAGGGAGCCAAGGGAAGCCTGTGGGGCTGAAGGACTGAAGCCATGCAGTGGCCCCTTCTCCAATGCTGTCTAAACCTCAGGCTCCCTCTGCAGTTGCTACCCCTGCAATCTCCACCTGCCATCCCTGCAGTGGAGTGGGGCAGGGGAGAGGACACAGTTTCTAACATCCCATGACTTCCCTGTTGTGGGTGGCAGAGCAGGGGTGGGGTGTCCAGGGATATGGGAGCTGCTTGGAAATGTCTTTTTCTTCTTATATTTATCAAGCCCTATAATATGCCAAGCACAGTACTTTGCACGCATTACCTTGCCCATGCTCACCACAGCCCTGAGAGGTAGATCCCATTATTATCACTCTCATCCCCATTTTACAGGTAAAGAAACTGACGGTCCAAGAGGTTGACTGATCTGTTCAGAGTCACATGGCTTATGAGGACTCAAGCAGGTATGTCTGATTCTGATTCTGAAGCCCCTGCTCTTTCTGCTACATCTGCGGCCTCCTGGCAGCTGTCATGATGACCAAGGCCTGGAGCAGCCTCTGCTCCACTGCCCTTCGTCCTCTACTCTGCAAGTCTCCAGCCCCTGAGCACTGACCTCTGCGGCTATCAGGCCAATTGCACAGCTGAGCCCTTGTCCTCCTTCCTTTTGGACTTGGAGTTGATCTGGCCTCAGATCAGAGCCAGGTCAGTCTTGGGGTTGCACTGAAGGGAGGCAGGCTGCTGGATTCAGATCCTGTTCCCCTGTGACACTCACATGGCCTTGGGCCCCTCTCTGAGGCCCCTGTTGCCAAATGCAAATGGGAACGATCGTACCTGCCTCATTAAATTTTGGTTGAGAGCCCAGGCAGGGCTGGGAGAAGGTAGGTAGGTGCCTACAGGCTGCTGGGCAGGGATGGTGAGGAACAGGGCCGTGGCTGGGAAGGCTGCCCTGCTGAGAGCCAGCCTGTGTTTGGAGCATTATCCCAGCTTCGCTATGCCCACCCTCCTGCAGCTTGATTTCTCCTGGTCATCTGGGTCAGACCTTGATGGGGCCTGGACTGGGTTCAGTGTGGCAGCCATCTGGTATCTGTCTTCAGGGGTGCCACAGAGGTGGTCATTGGCCCCGGGAGCCCCATGGCGTGCTTTCTGATAGGAGATGCAGTGGCTGCTGCAGGTTACCATGGAGACAGGGAGGCCAGGGCCCAGGGGAGCCCACGGCCTGCTAAAGGGAACTGTTCTGGGAGCTGGAGGCAAACCATGTGACAGTGATGAGGCAGGAGGGGCCTGGGGATTACTGAGTCTTTGTCACATCCCTGATCCCCCAAAACTCTATCCTTCCCCCAAGTCCTAAGCCACCTTCAGCCCACTCAAACTTCTCCCGCCTAGGCCAAGGAGAGTTCCCTCATTCTCCCCACATACTCAAGAGGCTCAGCTACCTTGGCAGGCAAGAGAAAAAAAGAGGAGCCTAGCAAGTCAAAAGCAGAGAGGGACAGGGAGCATGTCATTAGGACAGGGCTCTTTCTGTGTGCCATGCACTGAGCTAGGCTTTACATGGATGATGCCATTACCATTCTTTGGTGTTGCCGTGACATCTAAAATGGGGATAACAGGGCATCCGAGGCCCAGAGTGGTTAAGAGACCTCCCCAAGGTTGCACAGCTAAAGCTGACAGAGTAAGAGCTTGAACCTAGGACCACCTGGCCCCAAAGACAGAAGCCTTTGTTTTACAGCACACTGGCAGGGGTTGTGAGGAATGAGGGTCATGGCAGTGCCCTGCACTGTGGACTGGGCCATTGTTGCACTCTCTCCTTCCTTAATGTTCCAGGCATTTCTGCAGAGGTCTGATGTGCACAGCACTGTGCTGGGCCCTAGGGATAAGATGCTGGGAGACAGATGCAGCATGGCTGGTGTGTTCCCAGGAACCTGGAAGGAGCTATGGGAGCCAGGAGTCAGGATATCAGGTGGGCACTAATGGGCCTCAGGGCATTAGGTGGGCTTCAGCTCTGCTATGGCCTATGTGTAGGCAGGTGGGGCTGGTGAGGGAAGACTGAGCCCTGCCTCCAGAAGCACCCTGCCCTGACAGGGCAATACCTGGTAGGCATGGGGGCCAGGGGAGGCTGCAGCTTGCAAAGGATCTCAGCGCCAGAGGAGAGTGCAGGTGTGGGCTGCAGGGGGAGTGGCTGAGCAGCTGGCCATGCCCAGGTTTTGGGGCAGGGCAGGGAGGGTGAGTCACTGCAGGGCTGAAGTGGACAGGATCACTTCCTGGGCCCCACAAATGTGGAGAATCTTTCCAACCCTGCAACCGTTCCACCCTCAAAGATCAATGGCCCTGCCCTCCTGATATTCTCCCCTTGAACCCGGAACCCAGGCTCTTGTCCTTCCCATGTCTTGGGCGGTGCCCCTCACCCTTCCCTGGAGGGATTCATGGGCTCTGCCCCCATACCCAGTTGACCTGGGCCATCCCTGCTCCAGAATCTGAGCATTGGAGAGCCCCACCCCAAAGAGGCCAGTTTGACAGGGGTGGCAATGAGGGTATGCTTGGAGGGCATTTATCTCCCCACAGGGTCCCCTGTGCCCATCCTGCCCCACTCCCTGGCAAGGGAGCCAGGCATCCCCACCCCTCCCCCTCACACAGTGTCACTTCCTGGTTCTCACAGGAAGCTGCAGTGCCAATTAAACACCCCTCACCCCCCCAAGGGCCAGGCCCCAACATAGGCCTGGCTTGGCCTAGAAGGATAGGGAACAGACTGCAGCCCCACTTTGGGTTCTGGGCCTGGGAGGGATAGTGGACGCATTCTTCTCGACCCTTTGCTCCCCTCCCTTTTCTCCGCGGCAGCGCTCAGTCTGGGTTTCCGCAGTCCACCCCAACCCCGCTCCCTGACCACCCAGCCCCCTCCCGCCAGCGGTGCCCACCTGCACACGGTGATCAGGTTCTTACGCTCCACGGCCACGTTGCGGGAGGACGCTTTCTTGGAGGACAGCCCCAGAGCCATGGTGGTCTGGACAAAGCTCGCTTCCATCCAGATGTGCGGCCACTGCTGCCGCCGCCCGCTGCCCCCCACCCTGCCCGGCGCCCCAAACCCGTCGCTGGATCACGGCTGGGCCCTCTGCCCACCGGTGCCCCTCGACCCTTCCATGGCCATCCCCCTGCCTCAGCGCCCAGTGTCCGGCCCCCTCGCTCCCTCCCCCGGCGGCGATGCCAGAGCAAAACAAGGCCGGGGAGGGAGCTCTCCGAGGTGCTGAGCCAGGCCCCGTCACCCCCTCCTCCAGCCGCCCGCCCCACCTCAGCCAGTGACGTCAGGGCCCTCGGGCCCCGCCCCCAGCTGTCTGAGGACCAATCCGCAGAGGGTGCAGGGTCTGGGGGGAGGGGGAAGAGCCGGGGCCCCTGGGAGGGCGGAGGGGGTCCCCAGGAGAGGCAGAGATTGGAAGGAGGAGCAGGGGGCCTGTCCTCCACCCCCACACTCAAGGCCCGAGATTCCTCTCTTCGCCTCGCTTGGCCTCGAGTCTGGCTCCGACCTCTCTGCTCCCTTGTTTCTGACCTGAGCTCCGTGGGGTCTCTGATCTCCCCCGCCGCCTGAAGACAGGAGTTTCTCACCTCAGGGACCCTCGTCCCTGCCCCGCCCCCCACCCATTCAGCCTCGGCTTTCTCCGGGAGGCGAGGGCTGCGTGCAGAGAGCGCAGGTGGCCCCCGACTGCTAACCCAGGAGGCTAAGGAGCAGCCCTAGAGACTGCGCATCTGCGTGTCTGTCTGTGCCTGGGCTGGACTCGCCTGCACCAGCCGGGCTGAGCCAACCTCTCCTGGGGTGGAGGATGGGAATCCAGACCAAGCCTAAGGGCCCAGCGCCTGGAACCACGCGGGACCGGACCGAGAGTGGGGAGCAGACTGGCAGCGAAGGGCCCTGGGCTCTGCGGAGGTTCCCAGCAGCAGAGCAGGCGCCTACACTGGTGCCAAGGCAACCGGAGGGGGTGGCGGCCCACCCCCTCACACCACCCCAGAGCCAGCTGGCCTAAGGTTAACCCCTTGGCTGCCGGCATTACCGCATGGTGCCATCAACCCTCTCTGAATGGGGTCATTGATCTCAGGCAAAGCCAGGAGTGTCCTGTAAAACTGGTTGCAGCTCTCCACGGAGATGGGGGGAAATGCAGGCAGTTTGATGTCCCCCCTGCCCTTGGCCTCCTATTCCTCTCTCATATCCCTGCTCCCACCTGCTCAGTTCCTCTATTCAACCTGTTCCAGGATTTTCAGCGGGGGTTCCCCTTCACCTGCTGGAATCTGCAACTCCCACAACTCCCACGTAAAGCCTTTCTGTGTTTATTAAAGGGCCTCTACACAATTTCTCCATCTGCCCTTAGGAACGTCCCTTCCAGGACTCACTCGCACCTATTCTCCAACTCTGCCTACCCTCTCAATTCACCTCTGCCAGTGGATTGCTGATGTCTCTACATTGATTCAGATTTGCACCCACATCTGAAAATGATCAGCAGGCAGGAACCCTCTGTTAGCACAAGTGGAGGAGGAGGAGGTGAAAGATGCCTGTAATCCCAGCACTTTGGGAGGCCAAGGCAGGTGGATCACCTGAGGCCAGGAGTTCGAGAACAGCCTGGCCAAAATGGGGAAGGGAAACCCCATCTCTACTACAAATACAAAAAATTAGCCTGATGTGGTGGTGGGCACCTGTAATCCCAGCTACTCGGGAGGCTGAAGCAGAAGAATCGCTTGAACCCAGGAGGCAGAGGTTGCAGTGAACTGAGATCTCGTCATTGCACGCCAGCCTGGGCAACAAGAGCGAAACTCCATCTAAAAAACAACAACAAAAAAGAGTCTGGGTCCGACTCCCTGGAGACTGGTGAGAGGTCCTGACTCCTAGCATGGGATGTCATGTTTACACAGCCTCAGCCTCAATTACTGGCTGCTGGGACCTCAACCTTGGTCTTTTTATTTTTACTATTTTTTCGATTATTTTGTGTGTGTCATCCTTGCACAGTGGCCATGCTAATCTTCTCTGTATCGTTTCAAGTTTTTAGCATATTAGCATATTCCAATTTTAGTATAACCTCGGGCTTTTCAGTCCCTCCTCCGTCATCTTGCTCTTGCCTCACATGTAGCCGTCCTGCTTACCATTCTTCTGCCTCCAGACTGCCAGGGGCAGTAACGATGGGTTTTTTGCTCTTTCTCCAAATTAGGGCAGATGATGTTCTTTAGGGGTTTATGTTGTTGTTCTTGAGACAGAGTCTTGCTCTGTTGGCCACACTTGAGTGCTGTGGCATGATCTTGGCTCACCGCAACCTCTGCCTCCTGGGTTCAAGTGATTCTTCTGCTTCAGCCTCCCAAGCAGCTGGGATTACAGGCGTGCACCACCACGCCTGGCTAATTTTTGTATTTTTAGTAGAGACGGGTGTTTCACCATGTTGGCAAGGCTGGTCTCAAACTCCTGTGACCTCAAGTGATCCACCCACCTTGGCCTCCCAAAGTGCTGGGATTACTGGTGTGAGCCACCACACCTGGCCTATCTTAACCATTCTTAAGTGTACAATGTAGTAGTACTAAATACATTCATAATTTTGTGCAATTATCACCATTATCCAACTTCTTAACTCTTCATCTTGAAAAACTGAAACTATTCATTAAACAATTATTACTCATCCCCTACTCCCTTAACCCCCTGGCAGCTACTACTCTACTTTCTGTCTCTATGATTTCGACTACTCTAAGTACTTCATGTAAGTGGAGTCATATAGTGTTTATTTTTTATGTAACTGACGTATTTCACTTAGCATAAAGTCCTTAAAGTTCATCCATGTTTTAACACATTGCAGAATTTCTCTCCTTTTAAAGACAGACTAATATTCTTTTGTAGGGGTTTGCCACATTTTGCTTATGCTATGGCTTGACTGTGTCCCCCAAAGTTCATGTGTTGGAAACTTTTCTGTTTAATTAATTCATTATTTAGACAAAGTCTTGCTCTGTTGCCCAGGCTGGAGTGCAGTGGTGCGATCTTGGCTCACTGCAAACTCTGCCTCCCAGGTTGAAGTGATTCTTGTGCCTCAACATCCTGAGTAGCTGGGATTACAGGTGCCTATCACGTGTAGCTAAATTTTGTATTTTTAGTAGAGACAGGGTTTCGACTATGTTGGCCAGGCTGGTCTGGAACTCCTGGCCTCAGGCAATCCACCTGCCTTGGCCCCCCAAAATGCTGGGATTACAGGCATAAGTCATCATGCCCAGCTTTCTTTCTTACTTTTTGAGACACGATCTCACTCTGTTGCCCAGGCTGGAAAGCAGTGGTTCATTCATGGCTCACTGCAGCTTTGATCTCCTAGGCTCAAGTGATCCTCCCACCTTAACCTCCCAGGAAGCTGGAACTACAGGCACATGCTACCATGCCTGGCTAATTTTTGTTTTTATTAGTTTATTATTTATTCATTTATTTTGTAGAGCTGAGGCATCACTATGTTGCCCAGGCTGACTTTGAACTCCAGGGCACAAATGATCCTCCCTCCTTAGCCTCCCAAAATGTTGGGATTATGGATGTGAGCCACCACACATGTCCATGTATAAGAAACGTAATCCCCAATTCAATGGTGTTGAAAGGAGGGACCTTCAAGAGATGATTAGATCACAAGAGCTCCACCCGCATGAATGGATGAATGCTATTGTTTTGATAGTGGGTTCCTGATAAGAGGATGAGGATCAGGCCCTCTTCTCTCTCCCTCATGCTCTCTTGCCGTTCTGCCTACCACCATCAGATGATGCAGCAAGAAGACCCTTGGCAGAGGTGGGTCCCTCAATCTTGGACTTCCCAAGCTAGCCCCCAGAACTGTAAGAGATAAATCTGTCCTTTATAAATTACCCAGTCTCAGGTATTCTGTTAGAGCAGCACAAAGCAACTAAGACACTTACCCATTCGTCCATCCGTCGATACTTGTACTGTTTCCAATAATGCTGCTATGCACATGGTATACAAATATCTCTTTGAGACCTTGTTTTCAATTCTTTGGGGTATATACCCTGAGGTGGAATTGCTGGCTTGCATGGTAATTCTGTTTTAATTTTTTGAGGAGCTGCCATCCCATTTTGCATGATGGCTGCACCATTTTACATTCCTGCCAACCGTGCACAAGGGTTTCAGTTTCTCTACATCCTTGTCAACACTTGTTATTTTCTGTTTGCTTGTTTGATGGTAATCATCCCAACAAGTGTGAACAAGTGGGAGGTAGTATCTCATTGTAGTTTTTTTTTTTTTTTTTTTTCAGGGAAACCACCCAGACTGTGTGCTCTCTCACTCTCCTAAAGGAAGACAATGGCAAATGGCAGTTGTAGCAAAGCACCACCAACAGCCAGCTTGATGCCCAGGAGAGAATGCTGTGCCATCTCCTCATGGTTTCTAGTGCTCTACAAATTCAGAGAAACTTTTCTTATAATTAACTATAGAAACAATGAGACTGGGCAACATGGCAAGACTCCGTGTCTACAAAACCTACAAAAATTGGCCGGGTGTGGTGGCTCACACCTGTAATCCTGCACTTTGGGAGACCAAGGCAGACGGATCACGAGATCAGGAGTTCAAGACCAACCAGGCCAACATGGTGAAACCCCGTCTCTTCTAAAAATACAAAAATCAGCCGGGCGTGGTGGTGCATGCCTGTCATCCCAGCTACTTGGGAGGCTGAGGCAGAAGAATTGCTTGAACCCGGGAGGCAGAGGTTGTGGTGAGACAAGATCACACCATTTTACTCCAGCCTGGGCAACAAGAGCAAAACTCCATCTCAAAAAAAAAAAAAAAAATTGCAGGTGGTACACACCTGCAGTCCCCAGCTAATGGGAAGGCTGAGATGGGAAGATCACGTGAGTTCCGGAGGTTGAGGCTACAGTGAGCTGTGATCGCACCACTGTACTCCAGCCCCAGAGACAAAGCAAGATCCTGTTTCAAAAAAAAAAAAAAAGAGAAATGGGCTGGGCATGGTGGTTCACGCCTGTAATCCCAGCACTTTGGGAGGCTGAGGCAGGTGGATCACTTGAAGTCAGGAGTTTGAGACCAGCCTGGCCAACATGATGAAACCCCATCTCTACCAAAAATACAAAAATGAGCCAGGCCTGGTGGTGGGTGCCTGTAATCCCAGCTACTCAGGAGACTGAGGGGAGAGAATCACTTGAACCCAAGAGAGGGAGGTTACAGTGAGCCCGGGAGTTGGAGGTTGCAGTGAGCCAAGATCACGCCACTGTATTCCAGTCTGAGCAAGAGTGAGACTCAGTCTCAAAAAACAGAAAAAGGGAAATGATCCCTGAAAGTATACTCTTTCATTGTAGTTTTTATTGGCATTTTGCTAATGATTAGTAATGTTGAAAACCTTTTTGTGTGCTTATTGTCTATTTGGTTTTTTTTGTTTTGTTTTGTTTTGTTTTTTGAGAAACACCTATTCGGGTCCTTTGTTCATTTTTGAGTTGCTTGGTTTTTGTTGTTGGTGTTGAGTTTTAGGAGCTCTCTATATATCCTGGATATCAATCCCTTATCAGACATATGACTTGCAAATGTTTTCTCCCATTCTGTCAATTTCATTTTGAATTTGTTGGTATTGTTTTTTGATGCACAAAATTCTTAAATTTTCATCAAGGTTAATTTGTCTGTTTTGTTGTTGTCATTGCTGCCCTTGCCTTTGGTGTCAGATCCAAAAATATTATTTTCAAATCCAATGTTGGGAAGCTTTTGCTGCATGCTTTCTTCTAAGAGTTTTAAAGGTTTAGATCTTACATTTAGGTTTTTGATCCATTTTGAGTTAATTTTTGGATATAGTGTTAGGTAAGGGTCCAACTTTATTCTCTTACATGTGGATATCCAGTTTTCCCAGCACTATTTGTTTAAAAAGCAAAAATCAATCAAACAAACAAAAACCTGTCCTTTCCCCATTAAATGGTCTTAGCACTCTTGGCAAAAATCATTTGATCAAGTTTTTTTTTTTTTTGAGATGGAGTCTTGCTGTCACCCAGGCTGTAGTGCAGTAGCATGATCTCAGCTCACTACAACCACCGCCTCCTGGGTTCAAGCTATTCTCCTGCCTCAGTCTCCCAAGTAGACGGATTACAGGTGTGTACCACCATGCCCAGCTAATTTTTGTATTTTTAGTAGAGATAGAGTTTCACCCTGTTGGCCAAGCTGGTCTCAAACTCCTGACCTCAGGTGATCCACATGCCTCAGCCTCCCAAAGTGCTGTGATTACAGGCATGAGTCACTGCACCCAACCTGATCAAGTTTAAGGCTGCATTGCACTACAGCACTACAGGCTCGACAACAGAGCAAGACCTTATCTATTAAAAAAA